GAATTCTAATGTATATTAATCTCTTATCCTGTTGGAACAGACGAGTCCTGTCCAAGCAGTTCAGCCCACTACACTGACCATGTGGCCCCTTGATAAGACAAAGCATTAGATCTTGACTGGTGATTAGCTCACAGTTTTGTGGAAGAAGGCTGAGAGCCCTCATGTACAGTTGGAATGTAACTCATCTGAGCATGCTCCTGAACAGCCCAACCCAGAACAAGCTATGATGTTCTCTTACCTGCCTTTTGGACTTACTACCCTTTATATGTCCCCTAAATCCCTTTGGGAAGTTATGTTCTCCTTTCTCAAATTCACTTTTTCATGCATGCTTCTGTATTTGGGACTTTGCCTAATTTAACTACAACTAGTACACTCTCTTGAATTCTTTCCCTAGAAGACAAAGGACCCAGTCTAATCATATTTTTAAGGTACTTTGAAAACTATATACTGATTTGTAAATAGATACTTAACTGCAGTCTTGTTGAAGGGGTAGTTTAAAAATTGCCTGGATTTTAAAATAGACAACCACTACCCAAAAACAAACAAAAAATACCCCAAAACAAAATCTTCTTTTAATCTTTCCTCTAAATGGAAGAACATTAGGTCTAATTATAAGATCTCCAAAATGCTAATTTCATTACATGAGCATTTATTGGGTATCCAGTGGTAATAGTAACTACATTTATTAAAACCCTGTTTAACTGCAGCTCTGTGCTAGAAACTAAAAAAAAAATTCTTTCACTGTTCCCAGTTTGATGTGAAAGAAGAAATTTATACACATAGGGGTACATATAATTTAGTAAATGTTGTGTTTTTTTAAGATTTAATTATTTATGCACACAAGAACTGGGGTACAGTCCAGAGATACAGGGGGTGAGAAGATTCACCAGAGACAGAGTGGAGAGCAGAACAGGCAGATACACGGAAATATACTGCTGAGGGAACCAGTGGGTGGGTCAGGAGAGATCTGCTGTGCCTTGTGGGTCACCTCCCTGGCTAGGGATGGAACTCATGCTGCAGTGGCTGCCGAGAGCTTCATAGTGCTGCGCTTTTCCCCATTTTGCCACTAGGGAGGGCCCTAGTAAATGGTTTTTTTTTTTTTTT